GACGGAGCTCAGACACAAAGAGAGAGAGGAGGAAAATAACACGGGGAAAGAATAATGTGAGCAGTGCGCCATCTGCTGGTTGGTTTCATTCACATTAAACTCATTCACTGAAATGACCCAAGCATTAAATTCACCAACACAGATCAGAGACACAAACAGTTCAAACAGAACCAATAAAACAGAAAATACATTGGCATTGGTCCATAAGGGGAAGATGACTAGTGTGATAAGTGTTGATAGATGTCCATAAATGTTGTTGAATGTTGATTTGAATGTCCTGGATCATCACCACAGTCCTTTTAGTTTTACTTTGAACCCTGACCTTACAAGGCTCTAACAGACCCTCCTGCATTGGCAAGGAAAAACTCTAAACCCAGTGGGATGAGAAACCTCGAGATTGCCCACATTGAGAGAGGGATCCGCTCCCATGGACGGACAGGCCATAGATTCAGGACTCAGGCTACAGGACGAGGACCAAGGCAATGCCGTGCAGGCAGCTCCAAGGCGGGGAGGGATAGCCCACGAGTCGGGCCGGGCAGTGCAGGGCAGTCCCCATGTGCCGATGGAGAAGTCCGGTACCAGGGATCATTGCGTCATGAAACAGACAATGAGACAGCGGGTGATTGGCAATAAACAGATTACAGTTGAAGTCATAATGATGAAGACAGATAAAAGTTAACATACTTCTACCAGCGAACTGACTGGTTGGAGGGAGCCATGTCATTTATGAGTTTGTATGTCAGAAGGAGGATTTTAAATTTGGTTTTTATACCCCCCAGGAAGCCAGTGGAGTGATTTTAACACTGGAGTTATGTGCTCCCTTTTGGTGCCTGTTAAGATCCTTGCTGCTGTATTTTTGACGAGCTGGAATCTCTTTTTAGAGGATTTAGGGCACGCTGCCAGCAAGGCGTTAAAGTAGTCAAACCTTGAGGTGACAAATGCATGGATTCATTTTTCTCCTTAACTTTTAGGAAGGATATTCCTGATTTTAGCGATGCACAAGTGGAAATACCCAGTCTTAGTTGCTTGGTTTATACATGCCTTGGAGGAGAGTTCTTGGTCAGATACAACTCCAAGATTCCTCACAGTGTTGCTAGGAGCTTATCTGATTGGCGAAGGGAGTAGCACAGACGCTTAGTGAAGGGGAGGAGGAGGGTTGCTGCATGACATTGAAGCTTGATGCAGGCCAGTGTTTAAATGCTGTTTTGAATGCCAACTGAATGTGAGTGACTAATTGCTGATGCGCAGCAGTAGGAAGAGGACTGACACAAGCATTGAACTTGTGCACACTTAGTTTCCAACCTTCATATCAAACCTGTCTCAGAACTTCTCAAATTCAGTCGTTTACTTAATGAGTGTAGCCAGACCTTAATTTTTGATTCCATATTCTATGTAATAGCTGTGGTGAGCTCATACTATAACTTAATTTTACCATTTTAATTCAGAACAGCCTGAATCCTGCCAAAGCAGTTTGAAAATCCAAAGTCTGCTGAGCTTAAGTGGCCCTGTTAGTGACATAGAGCCTGTTCATATGTTCTTCACATGTGCACGAGTCCTGGTCCAGAGGGAGTGGAGTTTCTGTGTCGGGTGTCAGCTGCCGATGTGCCCCCCCCCTCACACCAACACGCTCTAATTGAAGCTTGTTAAAAACGCGCAGCCTCCAGAACAGATGAATGTGGTAATTACTCCAATGATGAATCTCTCCTCCTCTAAAACACATCTCTGTCTGAGGTTCTGCCGCGAGAACCACAGGAGAAAGTGATAATTGGAGAACGGCTGAAGAAACAAGGTGGTTTTGTTCTCAAGTCTAGTTTTTCTTTACATACTAAGACTTGAGTTTGTCACCGCTGAATAATCTACAGGTTATTAAGACTAAGAGCTTCTTTACCCTTCGTCGTATTAGAAGAATTAGACCATGAGTGTCAAAGTCAAGGCCCGGGGGCCAGATTTGGCCTCCAAGTGAATTGTCTTGGCCCCCTGGACGATATTTGATTAGGCTGCAAACCGTTAGATAGTCAGGACGGATCTCATCCACCCCGGTGCCTTGCCACTATGGAGGCTGCCAACCACCTTGGTGACCTCTGCCAGAGAGATAGAAGTATCCGCCCCAAAATCCTCAGCCTCTGCCTCCGGAACGGAGGACGTGATGGGGGGATTGAGGAGAACCTCAAAGTATTCCTTCCACCGCCGGACAATATCCCCGGTCGAGGTCAGCAGCTCTCCACCCGCACCGTACACGGTGTTGGCAAAGCACTGCTTCCCCCGGCTGAGGCGCCGGACGGTTTGCCAGAATCTCTTCGAGGCCGACCGATAGTCATGCTCCATGGACTCTCCAAACTCCTCCCAGTCCCGGGTTTTTGCCTCTGCAACAGCCCGGGCTGCGGCATGCTTGCCCTGCCGCTACTGGACAGCTGCCTCAGGAGTCCCACGAACCATCATGGCTCGATAGGACTCCTTCTTCAGCCTGATGGCATCCCTTACTGCCGGTGTCCACCACCGGGTTTGGGGGTTTCCGCTGGGACCAGCACCAGAGACCTTGCGACCACAGCTCTGAGCCGGCGCATCAGCGATAGAGGAAGAGAACATGGTCCACTCGGACTCAAACCTGGGAGAAGCTCTGCCGGAGGTGTGAGTTGAAAGTCCGTATGACATGGGGCTCAGCGAGACATTCCCAGCAGACCCTCACTACACGCTTGGGTCTTCCAGATCGGACAGGCTTCCTCCCCCGCCAGCGGATCCAACTCACGACCAGGTGGTGATCGGTTGACAGCTCCGCCCCTCTCTTCACCCGAGTGTCCAAGACACGCGGTCAAAGGTCAGATGATACGACAACAAAGTCGATCATCGACCTCCGGCCTAGGGTGTCCTGGTGCCACGTGCACTGGTGGACACCCTTGTGCGCGAACATGATGTTCGTGATGGACAAACTGTGACTAGCACAGAAGTCCAACAACTGAACACCGCTCGGGATCAGACCAAGGGGGCCTGGATTATTCATTTAATCATTAAATAATAGATATGTTAGACTAGGTCTTTGTTTACTAGTCCGGCCCTCTGATGTATATGACTTTGACACCCCTGCTCTATACAGAATAACTAGGTCCAGGAGCAGAGAGCCGGCTGCAGCCACAGGCAACGACACAGGACCCAGAGGAGAGAGGGGCCCCAGACCCCACCAGGCCCAGGACTCAGACCCCATAGGACCCAGAGGAGAGAGGAGGCCCCAGACCCCCACCGGATCCAAGAGCCAGTCCCCCGAAGCCACAGCAGACCCCAGCTCTCAGTGCAGAGGGCTCCTCCAGAGGAAACACTGGGGACACTAAAACAATACAATAATACAATAGAAAGTAGAACAATAGAATGTGAAAATAAAAAGAAAAATGGCAGCTGCCTAATATAATAACAATAGTAAATGGGTAGATACAATAAATAATTAAAAATAGCAAATAATAAAAATAAAATAAAAATATAATCCGTCTAAAAACATAAATAGATGTACTAAAAAGCAATAATAGATAATAAATACTAATCAAAAGCTGCTCTAAAAAGGTGCGTCTTGAGCCTACTCTTAAAAATATGAACGTTCTCTGCGGCCCTGAGCTCCTCCGGCAGACTGTTCAGAGACGGGGGCCGTAGTGCTGGAAAGATGCCTCGCCGTGAGTGTGTGTCCTGACTTTGGGGATGGTTAGGAGTCTGTTGCCGGAGGAGCGCAGGGGCCGGGAAGGCTCATAGGATAAAAGCAAATCTGAAAGATAAGAAGGCCCAAGACCATTAAGACATTTAAAGACCATTAAAAGAACCTTAAAATCGATCCTGAAACACACGGGGAGCCAATGCAGCGATTTTAAAACCGGTGTAATGTGGTCCCGCCCCCTGGTCTTAGTCAGGACACGTGCGGCCGATACACGTTACTGTGTTTAGCAGCGCTGTAGATGCTAGAGGACGCAGCCTGTTCGTTGCAGCGCCGCTCCTCATTCTGTGATTGGAGGAGAGCGAGCATCACGCCAAGTTTCTACTCATCACTTTTTACGGCCTGAATTCATACTCAAGCTGAATCAATGAGCTCAAGTTTTCAATTAAAGTACGGATTATGATACAACTTGTTTGTAGTAATCAGCATTTTTATGAACTCAATAGAAAAAAAAATTGGGTATAGCTTCTTAAACACAGTTTGGTATTACTATTTTCCACATGCCCGCAGGTTTTAGCCTCTGTCATATCTTTCGATCAGTCATGAATCTACAGCCGCAGTCCTGGATCTACAGCTTCAGTCCTGGGCGGCACGGTGGCAGAGTGGATAGCACTCTCGCCTCTCAGCAAGAAGGTCCTGGGTTCGAATCCCGGTGGGACCAGGGCCTTTCTGAGTGGAGTTTGCATGTTTTCCCTGTGTCTGCGTAGGTTTCCTCCGGGTACTCCGGTTTCCCCTACCACTAAAAATATGTACAATAGGTCTGGCATGCGCCTCCTGTACTGGCAACCCTGCTCCCATCTCTGTGTAGAATGAGAAATAAATGCCCAAAAAAATAACAATTGTAAACCGCTTTGAGACTCAGATTTGCAGTGAAAAGGCGGTATATAAATAAAGATTACTAAAGATTACTTACAGTCCTGGATCTACAGGTTCAGTCCTGGATCTACAGCCAGAAAGTTCATACAGCAAGCGGGACAAACGTCAACACTTTGCAGGGTTTGATGGCGAGCTGGCAGGCGGATAAACTGTCCATGTTACTACATACAGGTGTATGTGTTTGACATTATTGCATTTTCTGTATTCGAACTGTTTGATTCTCTGATATGTTGTTGGTGAATCCCCAACTTTGAAATGTCTTCTAAGACATCTTTTGTTGCAATGAAGGGCAATAGATTGATTTACAAAAACATATTATGCAAAATTCATCCTCTGTATTTGTCCATAACATCTCTATGAAGCCTTCAAGCATGCCATGTCAGATATACAATATACTTAACATCTTTCAAATGTGACCAGAGGGTACCGCCCCTCAGACCCCCTCCACGACCACAAACCCCACAAAGGTGAGGCGTTTGGTTTGAAGCCTGGTGTTTTTCTGGCTCTGCTGTGAGAGCTGTCTCGCCACAGAACGGTGCATTCATGAGCCCAGGACCTACTCTGTGTAAGTGGCTGTCACCTCCTCATGCTCGGGCTGCACAGTCAGTCTTTGTCCTCACATCCTCTGGGTCTGACAAGGCCCTAGCCGCCCCTTACCTCTCAAACCTGACCTGCCAGCACTGAGGCTCTGTCCAGAACATAAACAGCAACTCTTGCGGTGACCGTGCGGGACCAGTTCAGATTCAGATACAGTTGTGTTGCCATTTGCAGTAAAACCACATTGGAATACATGTGCAGAGGTCCCCTGTGTGCACCAGACAAATACATCAATAAAACATGCAAAAAAATACAAGAATCAAGAGATTGTTAAAATTCAATGAGAACACATTAAAGGTTTAGAGCTTAGTATGATCCTGGGAGGCAACAAGGAGCCACCTCAACTCTCAGAGCGATGGAGAAGCAGTGACTCTACATCGAGCTCCTTCGTGTGACTGAGCTCCTCCCCCTATCTCTATGGGCGCTTAGAGATTGAAGAAACTCATGTGGATCCGCAATATCGTCCTTTAGGTAATTTCCCAAATCTCATGACCAGAGGTGAGGGAGGGAACATAGAGCTCTTCACCACAACAGCCCCTCTTCTTCCCTCGCTAAGAACAACACCTGCCCCTGAAGGCACCTTTTACGGTCTAAACTCAATATTTAAAACTCCAAGTGATGAGTCATATGTGTTTTCTCTCAGACAGAATCATATAGACCAAAGAGCAGCAATGACCTTTATGTCAGTGATTTAAATAAAACCAATAAAACCTGGACAATAAATCAGTCTGACCTGTTCCTCCGACAAAGAAAAAGGAGAGGCTGCTGCTGTCCTTCCACAACCCCTCAGTCCTCGGGTGAACTCCTGAAAACCACATTAGATCAGTATTGAGTCGGTAGAGTCAGGACTGAGGCTGTGGATCCAGGACTGAGGCTGTATGGTTCAGGACTGAGGCTGTGGATTCAGGACTGAGGCTGTATGGTTCAGGACTGAGGCTGTGGATTCAGGACTGAGGCTGTATGGTTCAGGACTGAGGCTGTGGATTCAGGACTGAGGCTGTGAATCCAGGACTGAGGCTGTGGATCCAGGACTCAGGCTGTATGGTTTAGGACTGAGGCTGTGGATCCAGGACTGAGGCTGTGGATCCAGGACTGAGGCTGTATGGTTCAGGACTGAGGCTGTGGATTCAGGACTGAGGCTGTATGGTTCAGGACTGAGGCTGTGGATTCAGGACTGAGGCTGTATGGTTCAGGACTGAGGCTGTGGATTCAGGACTGAGGCTGTGGATTCAGGACTGAGGCTGTATGGTTTAGGACTGAGACTGTAGATCCAGGACTGAGGCTGTAGATCCACTGAGGCTGTAGAGTCACGACTGAGGCTGTAGGTCCAGGACTGAGGCATTAGATCCAGGACTGGGGCAGTAGATCAACGTTTGAGGTGGAAGATCCAGGACTGAGGCTGTAGATCCAGGACTGAGGCTATGGATTCAGGATTGAGGTTGTTCCTGTAATCCAAGTCTCGATCACCAATTATAGCACTTAATAAAAGTGAGACGGATAAACAAATAACTGATGAGTAACTAACTTTTTGGGGGATTTTTCTCGGAATCCCTTGGTCTTAGTGTTCAATACCAAACCACGTATTCGGACCATGCTCAGTTACAGGAAAACAATGAATGAGAAAACCAAATGGTCCATATGTCTCCCATAGAGCAGCCGCACAGACCCCATCCACTTTCTCTGATTTCAGTTTATTTTTAGGACCTATAAATGTTCCTATGGCCCAGGACTGAGGCCGCTGTTCCCTTCCTCCCTCCCTGTGTTTTTCCTGGCCGCGGTGACGTCCAGCAGCTCCGTGGTTCTGTTGAGTGCGGTGGGAGATGCTTCGTCAGGAAAATCACTCCCAGATGCTGCGCTCTCACTTTTGTGGGGCTTCTGCATCTTGTCTGCAGCAAAGACCTGTGGTGTGTAGAACAGGGGTGGCCAACCCGCGGCTCGTGAGCCGCATGCGGCTCTTTGGCTTGTTCCGTGCGGCTCTCGGGCTTTCACATGACAAGCGTCAAAAACGCCTCGGTGGTGGTGCTGCCATTCATTCCCTATGTAGTTCTGACCCATAGTAAAGGCCGACTTCACTCCACTAGCCAGGCCACCAAAACAATCTGACGTCGGCGAACGTCAATTCTGATTGGTCAGATGCGCTGTCAATCACTCTGCAGCCGCTGCCTCAGTTGTTGCAAATATCATAACAAACAACACGTTGCCTCGACCCATGACGTCCGTACGGAAAACAGCTCCTTGGTCGCTGGATGAGGGCAACACCTTCCTCAGTTTGAGGAGAGGACACCAGCGTGAGCTCGATGGTTCCACCAGAAACCAGCTGTTTGTGGAGCTAGCGCTAAGGACGGAGCAGAACGATTCCCACGAACATCACAATGCAGAGAAAAGTTAAAAAGCTTAAAAGTGACAACCGTGAAATGAAAGATTACAGCAGCAGAAGTAGAGGCAGACCCGAAAAGTCTGGAGGTGGTTTGACCAAATGGATTAAATTTACGGACATCGGCTAACACCGGCTAACATGCTAAAACCAGCTAACAACAGCTAGCATTACACCAGGAGAAAAGCCAACTCTGCCTGGTGAGTGTCTGTCTTCAATCAAATGCAAAAGTATCTGGTCTTATACTGAACATGTGTCTGGTTCTAAATCAGCTAAAGTGGTGTTGGTGTTATGTGTCAAATCTATATCTTTTACTAAACGCAGTCAGAGTGAATCATGGTTCAATAAAGACAGTTGTGTTTCTGCTGAACACTGGGTTGAAACTTGATTTTTTTTCTTGGTTAGAGATTGAAAGCGTTCATTTCGGAATCATAATTGATGTTCGCTGACGTGAGATTGTTCTGGTATCGACTCGCCCGGTTAGAACCAGGGCCAAACCATAATAAAAAGTACCAGGGAGAGGCTGAAGCGAGCGGTAGAAGCGCCCGCAAACCAGGGAGAGTCGAGTCCAGCCCTTTAGTACTGTACGAAGCAATTTCTGTCATTATCATGTTGATGACATTTACAATAAATCTGTCTGAGCAGAGCACACCTCTCTCTGCTCAGACAGATTGCATGTGTTTGTGTGTGTGTGTGTGTGTGTGTGTGAGCGTGTGTGTGTGTGTGTGCGCGTGTCTGCTCGTGTGCGTGAGCGTGCGTGTGTGTGTGTGTGTGTGTGTGTTTGTGTGAGAGAGCGTGTCTGTTCGTGTGCGTGTGTAAGGGTTGGGGTGATGTTTATGTAGTGCACATTTGTATGATGTGGCTCTTTGCTTAACACGGTAAAAAAAATTGGCTCTTAGTCTCTGACTGGTTGGCCACCCCTGGTGTAGAAGATACGGAGCGAGTGACTGGCCGGTTTATTTGTATAGTACAGTTCATACACAAGGCAACTCAAAGTGCTAGACAAAACAAGAGACAATCACACAAGGCATTAGCATCACAAATAATCACTGTAATAATCAGTGCATTAAACAGAACTGTGAACCTGGATTTGAACATTATCACATTTTTCAGGAAGACAGTTCCAGATTTGAGCTTCCCGTGAGGTCGTTTTCAGATGTGAGCGCTGTGTCACAAAGGTTCATAGGATTTTTAGATATCAGAACGTTATTTGTACACAGCCTTTATTGGTCACATTTTATGACAAATTACTGTTTGTCTTGAACACTTTCACCAAACTCTTATGCTAACCGCTGCAAGTAAACCGTGTGTTACTATGGTAACTAGCACTCAATCTTCTCTGGGGGAAAAAACAAATTGAACCAGGACCAGACCAGGACCAGCACCTGGGAGAACAGGGCTTTAACTTCCAAAGAATGTTTGTTTGCCGAACGAGCAAAAATGGCTACATTAAAAGTTTCGATTCAAATAAATGGATCAGTCAAACAGACTGCTCTGGGAATTAAAGGTAGAACTCCAAGAGTACAAGGACAATGTCATAGAAATAAACCACAATAAAACAGAAGAGCACACATGTACAGTACATCAGCTGAAATGACACATATGCAGCTTAAGTGGAAATTCAGTCTGGAAGATTTTAGGAGTCCTCACTACACACCTGCTGCTGAGCTCAACAGCATCAGCCTCAGCTGCATTTAAACAGAGCCTCTCAGTCCTCTGCAGCATCAAGCTGCTGTTCGAGCAGTAACCCACCTCCTCTTCGTTGCCGCCTCTTCAGCAGAAAATTGTCATGTTATTGGCTCAGCTTCCTGGGAGTTCTAGAGTTAAACTCTATAGATCTACATTTCCTTGGGCTCATGGAAAGGTTTTTTTGCGGAGCCTGACAACTGGGCCTAGAGGCAGGACTTCACAGCTCCACACAGGTCAACATACAGATAATCAATGAAATACAAAAGAGTCCATTGTGAAGAAAGACTTTACGACATGTTTCTCTGCGATCTCCTCTTTGCAGTTTCTCTGGGCCAGAGCTCGTTGGGTTCTCGGCCTCGTCTCATCTGAGACTGTGGCAGTTTCCAGTTCACAGGAAGTGGCTGTGTGATTCATTCAGATCTGAGTCACACGAGAGACAATCAACAGCAACGGAATCCCACAGGAAACTCGGCGTACGAGACGTTTGCACCTGTTCAGGAACCACAGGCTGCGAAACACTAACCCCTGGACTGTCTGTATGCAGAGGCGTGCGATCTCGGATTCAACTCAATTCAATGTATTTGTGTATTGCCCTACAACTGTGAATAGCTTTTTTACTATATTTAAGGAGATATTGGGAAAATTATAGCATACTATACAGTGTGGGTGAAGTGTCTTGCCTAAGGATACAACCACAGATAAGCACTTTACAGCCACCCCACAGCAACACCACGCTTCTAACCAGGCTATGCCCTGCTTTCACCTGCCGTGTGAGAGAGCAGATCCCTCTCTCAATATTGGGTTGTAGGAGGTTTCTCACAATTTTCCCACTGGGTTTCTGAGTGTTTCCTCTCTGATGCAGGAGGGTCTGAGGACGAGGAGTGGGAATTGGTAAAAAATATAACAATTTAATATTTTTGCAATATATGGGCCATTATTAAATATTATTGCAATTCTTAACATATGCAAACAAATATTGCAATCAATATAACATACCCTAAATTATTCAAAAACAATCAATTAGTCACAAAAAGCAGACATAATTCACTAATATAAACATTAGATGTAAATGACCAGAGAAAACTCACAGAAAACTCAAAGTGTAACAGATACTTACTAAAATAGATATTGCAAGACTTTACTCTGCTGTATCAATTTACATACTACATCTCCGTCTGAACAGAATCAATATCTTCCCTGACCACTCCTAAGGTCAGTGATGATCCTGACCTTGTATGTCATGCATCGGTGAATTATCTCAGAATGTGCAATTTACTTTCTCATCTGGGAAAAAATAACTTTAATAATGTCAGAAGAACCACATGTGTCCACTGCTGCTCTACTGACTCACTGTGTCCCAGAGCCTCACGCTGCTGCAAACATGTACAGGTGTAAACATACTGCTGCTAACATGTACAGGTGTAAACATACTGCTGCTAACATGTACAGGTGTAAACATACTGCTGCTAACATGTACAGGTGTAAACATACTGCTGCTAACATGTACAGGTGTAATCATACTGCTGCTAACATGTACAGGTGTAAACATACTGCTGCTAACATGTACAGGTGTAAACATACAGCGGGTAACATGTACAGGTGTAATCATACCGCTGCAAACATGTACAGGTGTAAACATACTGCTGCAAACATGTACAGGTGTAATCATACTGCTGCTAACATGTACAGATGTAAACATACTGCTGCTAGCATGTACAGGTGTAAACATACTGCTGCTAACATGTACAGGTGTAAACATACTGCTGCTAACGTGTACAGATGTAAACATACTGCTGCTAACATGTACAGATGTAAACATACTGCTGCTAACATGTACAGGTGTAAACATACTTCTGCAAACATGTACAGGTGTAATCATACTGCTGCTAACATGTACAGATGTAAACATACTGCTGCTAGCATGTACAGGTGTAAACATACTGCTGCTAACATGTACAGGTGTAAACATACTGCTGCTAACGTGTACAGATGTAAACATACTGCTGCTAACATGTACAGATGTAAACATACTGCTGCTAACATGGGACGTATAAAGTATCGTCCCATGTTATCGTATTAATCTTCTGCACATTTTCTCACATTTCTAGACAGTGGTCCTTCCGCTCCCTTTACCTATGGCTCATATGTGTTTGTTATTGTTGCATTTCGCTGTGTTTGAACTGTTTCTAATCCGTTGTTGGTGAATCCACGACTTTGTAAAGGTGTCCAAGACAATTGCTGTTGTGATTTAGGGCGACGCACAGATACATTACATTTAACACGTCTGTTGAAAAGAGGAGAAGAATAAAACCTTTTGATTGCGTTACCACAGCTTTTTTCACAGTAACATCTCCATCCTGTTCGTGACTGTATCCCTGACAGCTCTGGCCCCTCCCTGTGCCTTGTTCTCATTCCTCAGTGCTCAGCTCACTCCCTCTGCCCTAAAACTCCTCTGAAGTTAATATTTGCCCAAGGAAGTAAAGCCAATGTAAGGGGGGAAAGTTTTGGCAGAGGTTGATGGTCCATTCTGCCGCTTTTCAACCCAAATGAAAGCCAGATGCAGGAGGGGAGGAGCCGCCTGTAAATGGACGTTTCCTGTTTGAACTAGAGCGTTAAGGGACTCTTCTATTTTGGAAAAGTGGGATTATTTATTATGGCAAGAAATGAAGACGGCTCCCAATTACCTTTCACTGGAGCTATGAAGCGAAAAGAAGAAGCAATTAGAGGAACAGGCGTTTTGTAAAAGGAGACAACCAGGCTGAAAATATGAAAGTTTAGGAGCCGGGTCAGTGTTCTGCTGAGACTGTATAGAGCATTC